CTGTAAAAACAAAGAACAGCACCAATGAAAAATCAAGCTCATCAGTGTAAAGAAAATGAATGAGCACAGTAGCGAAGCCTCGAGGCAACAGAGTCTCGTCAAGTACAACACTGTTCCCTTCTCCGATGTGCTTGAGGAGTCCTCGAAAAACCTCACTTCTAGAAGCTACTATCGAAGAATCGCAACGAATGCTGTAGTCTGGTATGCAAGCTGCAATAGAGCATGATTTATCCAAGGGTAACTTCTAAATAGGGTTACAGCTCCTCTTTAGGGACTACTAAACTGAAAAGCGACTGCATCTTATCATCGACTCAGACAAACTTTGTAGATCAAACAATGTAATTGTTCAACAAAACGTAACACGGCATTTGTCGAAACTGATGAACGGTGTCAAAAGGCATTTCAATTCAAAAGTTACAGCTGCCAAACATATACGCTAACCTTTCGCTGGTTTTTCTCCGTTGGAATTTGGAGATGCGAGGATAATCTTAAGGTCTCCATCCTTCGAAGCCATCTTCTCCGCAGTGCACAAATCAACAGCTAGGTCTCTGTAGCATTTCATCCAGTCTCGAAAAAACTGGAGTATGTCTGCACTACCAGTCCAAGTTCCAGTATAGAGATAACGTATGAACATGCTGGAAAACTCCGTTTTCAACGTTTACCTTAGGTCACTGCTTAATATACTACTGAAAACCCACCATAGCTCCTGTTTGGTAAGACGTCTACCACACGGAGGTGACAAATGCAATTCAGACACGTTCTGTTTACTCAATAATTCCTGTATCAAATCACATCTCGCAATAGCTATACGACGATGTATGGGGTATGCAGCGTTCTGAAATTAAGGAAGTTATCAAACTAGCTGTTGGAGATGGGCGTAACTTACATCAACTATCAGAACGAAATCCTTATTTGCACTTGAGAAGAGCTGCTCCTCCAAGCTTAAAACAGCTGGACGAGCATGATCAGCTGCATTTTGAAACAATGAGAGGACACGTGACGTCTCCAACTCCTATAAATGAATTTCCGACATAAAGTGAACCATAAAACATTACAATCTCTCATGCAATACCCGATAGAAGGCACTACCGCAAAAACAGCTTAAAACACATGTCACAAGATCTAAATAGCTTACTCTGTACAGTGTCTCGATGTCATGAATTGGCCAGGACGAGATCAAATCACGAAAAGACTTCACTTTTTCGCGATTGCCATTTTTTCGCTGAAAAGGGTAAGTCCAGAATGGTAAACACAAAAATGACCACTCAAACAGTTTGCATTCTTTCCAAGAAGATACATCTATAAACAACGTATGGAATTGCAGTAAATTTGTCTTGCGCACCCAAGGTGTTCTCGCATAAACCTATCTGATCGTTCGCAAAAAAAAATGAAAGAGCATAAAACATCAAAAACGCTAGATGGAAGGATTTACCTGTTCCAAGCTTTAATAGCAAGATGAAACTCCTTCACAAGACAAACGAGTTCGATCGAATACTCGACAAGGAGCGAATTAGTTATGATTGTAAACAAGTTCGCTTGAAGGCTATCTAAGGACACCAGCTTTTTTGGCTGAAACATTCCCTCAAAAAACGATTTTGTCAAGAAATTAATACGTGCAATGAAACGTAATAACTTAGAATAATTACGCATTCCGCAACTACAGTAAGAACAACCGCGGATTATGAGATATTAGTGCTAAGTAATACTCAGGGAAACAAATGCCACGTTCAAATGGGAGGCGGTTGAGTGGCCCGATTTTCCAGGCTGTCACTGTATATACATGTTGATAACACAATAAAAAACTATTTTCATAAGCTTTTGAGCTTTTCAAAATAAACAAGAAAGGAGTCCCAGCAATATATCAGCTAAATGATAGTATATGGGCAATATGAAAGCTTGTGAGTGATTTTTGTTAAAGCTATAGATAAAAACTTCTCCAGATACATTTTTGAATTTTCCTACTTGCAGCTTCATATCTTTAAATGGTGCTCTCTCGTTATGATTCTAAATCATATAACACCTTGTACGTTCTTTATTATGAAAAATAATGGAAATTACGTGAAAACTCCATATGATATAGAGCCAACTGCGGATGTACCCTTAGTGACAACCCGCAATCGCGCCTCTCGACATACCCCCTCTTCAAATGGACAAGCAGCAGAAGGAACTGCTTCTAAATTCATGGAACCTGATATTGCTGGGTTGGTTGCATTGCAAGCATGCGAGATCAGCACTAAATTATGAACTTTACAACAAGAAAAAAAAAATTTTACGCTTCAGTTTCAGATCACCTATTTGAATTACTGCAAGTCAAAAGATCTTCATGGTAAGCCAGCATGAAACAATTTGGATTTACCGTATTCAGAATGCTTCAAGCTTGATAACTCTACGTTCTCTCACCTTCCGTATAAAATCACAATGTGGGCCACTTGCGCCTTGCTCTTGATAAGTTTTTAAAAGCTCATCACAAAACAACAGGAGCAATATCAAAATTAACTTTTGCAACCTGACACAACTGAATTCCAGATAACGATATCATTTGAGCTTTCCATAGTTTTGAGTGATTTAACTTCGAAAAGTCCTGATCACTTCAATGCGCACAACTTGTAGAGACAGAGGACTAAGTGCTTTAAATGGCTAACTCCTTAAAATTCAAAAAGAATTCCTATGTGTGACGTCTGTTATCTTGAAGCCTACTTTTTTTGCTTGCTTCTGAGAAAATTGTCTTAACTGAAGGCCTGCTTTGCCCTAAACATAGAGTCAATGATTTCCACGTAACCTGTGAGAGTGGTAATAGAAAACTGCGTAACACTGAGAATCTCATTCTTCAACAATGTTCTTCCTATCTCAAAGCACTGTTATGAAATCGCACCTTGAACGATAACTTCGAAAGATGTTTAGACGATGACTGAGCAAGTGATGCAAGCCGGCTCCTTGTTCGCGGCGTTCTCTGCTCAGCTGTTGGCTTCAGGCGATCCAGATCAGCGGACGATCGGCTTTTCGTCCGTAGAGAGGATGAACCTCCACCCATTAAGCAATATACCCGCTAAAAAATTCAATAGAACAGGTGGCGAATAAACAAGAAAGAACAAAGACAGAAAATAACAAACGCAGAGAACATCTGCCGTCAAATAGTACATTTTCATATGGAAAACTGGAAGAAATGGTGGCAAAACAAAAACATTAAACTATGAATATTCTGATTCTATTGAATTATAAATTTGATTTAGAAAGTGATGACATTTTGATTCCTCATCCTCTCTATTCATCGAATCCCACATTATGCTTCAGTTGTTTAATATGAACGTATCCTAGATAACATATCATAGATACCAGTTACACAACTTTTGACAGTGTCCTTGGGAACCACTAATAAAAGGGTTTCCAATCTGAGAACACTAAGGAATCGCACAATTGGGGTAGTTTTAACCTCGGAACCGAGAAATTTTCTACTAGACTACTTTTCAAGAAACAAACGGCACGTGTTTCTCATAAATCTAATCCTTTAGCAACCTTTCTAAAAGTTAATATACGACATCAAATCATATAATAACGTGGATGTTTAGAAAAAAAAAGCAATTTCACTCACTGTAAAACAGCTTTTTAATAACTAGAAAATGCATTCAACAGACTTTGATAAACAAAAATTCAAGAAATCATGCTTAGTGTTGACGTAAAAGGGCTTTTAAAAACTATCGAGAAAAGGAAACAGAGGACTAAATATGCGCATCTGCTCTGTAAACTCTAGCCACTGTTATGTCGATCTATCTCATTGTTTTCTGCTTATCTACGGATAGATACTTACTAACTAAGTTATAAAACACTAGTGTAC